CCCAACAAAAAAAAAAAAAAAAAAAAAAAAAAAGAAGCCACGCATGTGCCTTAAAAGCTTTCCTTATTTTCTTATTTCAAATGAAACCTCTCCTAAAATCATTTTAAATGTATGAGTTTTTCTCTGTTCAAGACAGATAGAAGGCAAAAATATAATAGCTAATCTCCTCCAAGAACCTAATATTCAAGGATTAAAGTTATCTGGAGAGATCAATGTTGTGATTATTAATCAAGTTGTCATAATACCAGTTGTATTTCACGCTTTGGCTATTAATGATAAAAAGTTTTCTTAGAAGGCTGAGGCGGAAGGATCGCCAGAGCCCAGCAGGTTAAGGCTGTGGTGGCCAGGAGCAGCCACTGCACTCCAGTCTGGGCAACAGAGTGAGACTCCAACTCAAAAAAAAAAAAAAAAAATTTATTTCTATACCTGCACCACGGGAGGCCTATGAAAATATTAAGGATATAAATCATGGTCAGAAAATGGGGACCCTCAGAAGCATAGTGGCTGAGTTAGGACTTTAATTCCCAGTTTATATATATTAAGTGACTCTATAACAAAAGAAAATCAAGAACAAAGATTTGGTCTGCCCCTTTACTTAAAATAGTTTTCCTCAGAAAATTAACCCAACGCCTTCAGATAAAGGCGACTCTCATTCTTCCTACATTCTTTCTTTTGTGTGTAGGGGGAAGGATGGTATTGTTTTAAGATAGAGTCATTTTTTTTCCTTCTGAATCATCATGAGAGCAGGACATGGAAGCAGCCATGGTGGGCACTCACCATGATGTCCCCCTTCAGAAGCTGGGCCGGTTCTATGACGATGCAGATCCTGCTGGCGTTTTCTGGGCCAACAGTGCTTTGGGATAAACCAGAAGAAAGATCATTAAGCAACTTCAGGATTTCATGAGAAGAAGACATGTTGAGAAAAGCAACCCCACAACTGAAAACTCAGAAATTACATAAAATGCCGCAATTAGCCCAGAATCCAATTCCTGAAAACCGACCCTAAGGAAACGAATCTAAAAAGTTCAAGAAAACATTCAAGCAAGGGAGGGTCCTCAAGGCATCATCATGGTGAGTGACCCAGTTGAAGTGACTACGGTTCAGCCCAGGGGCCTGAGCACAGCAGGGACCACATGGCCTTAGAGAAAGGGGCCAGGAGGTAGGCAGCTGCAGCTTAAGTTACATACTGAGGGTGCAACTTCTTATGTATAGCATCAGTGTGTACAGGACTCAGCATGGACCCAGTAATGTGGCAACAGTTCTTTAGAGGTGAGAACATTTCCTAACCCCACTCATTTTCTATTAATGTTCATAAAATACTTTATCCACATATGAAAAAGCAAACAAAAATGTTCAGAAATGTGTACAAATGTTGAGGACGTGGTTACTTTCTGTCAAAAATGTAGAAGAGACAGAAAGAAAAACCACAACGAGACTCTGCCACCAGCCCACCCAAGCCTTTCCAATAAGTTTACAGTTGACTCTCTGTACCACCAAGTTTCACATCTGTAGATTCCACTGACAGTGGACTGAAAATATTGTAAAGAATTAGTAAAAAATAACAAAACAGCAGTAAAAAGTAACACAAATTTTAAAGATGCAGTGTAACACCTTTTTACATAGCATTCACATTGTATTAGATATTTACAGAAGTCTAGAGACAATTTAAAGTGTACAGAGGGATGTGCCCAGGTTATACAGAAATACTACACCATTTTACATCAGGGATTTGAGCACCCATGGATTTGAGTAATCATGGGGTGTCCTAAAACCTGTCCCCCTAAAACCACGAGAGACAACTGTACTTCCTAACAGCAAATGGCCCTCTTTCCCCTCGAGGCTCCAGCATCCACACTGCTTAAAAGAAGCCACTGGTGTGGCCCCAACAAGATACCTGTGTGGTTACAGGGAGGGCCAAGGTCATATGCCCTTGCTCTGCACCCTACATCTGGGCTTTCAACACTGGCTCTGCAGACAACCGGCTGCCCTAGGGTTTTCCCCTCGGTGCTTTTTCCAGCTCCTTGGCATTCTGTGGTCTACTCCCTGCCACTCTCTTCCTCCAGAAGAGGCAGCTGAGGCCAAGCTACTATTCCCTGGGCTGTTCAGATCCCACAGGAGAAGCAGCAGCACTTACTAGATCCCAGATGTGTACACAGGCTGCATGGCTTGGTAGAGCTTCAGAAAGGGCCGGCACACTGAAAGAGAGGCACATCCATATATGAAGGTTAGAAGGAACAGGAGTTCAGCAAACAGAGAGGGGCACCAGGAGACTGGGAGACCGCACCTTGGCCTCTAAGGCTTGGGAGAGAGATACATGAAGCTAGACTGAGCTCAGGGAGCCCAGGGTTGCTGCAGGAAAAGCCAGGCTTCACTCTGAGACAAAGTCAGTCCTAGGGGCCTGCAGAGCCACATCGTGTGACTTTTGCCCAGAGGGCAACAAGGGGCCCAGGATTGGCCAGAGAGGCTGCACCATAATCAATTTGCAGCTCAGCTTGTTCCTCTGGCCATGATGACCAGGAGAAGCTAAAGGCATAGATGTACGTTAGAAACAAAAGAAACGGATTAAGGAAGCATTTGCATGGAACTGGAAAGGAAGGGACAGGGAGGAGGAGACAGGGTCCTGACCCCCACCGCTGTACTCTGTGCACTTCATGGGACAGGGAGGAAGGGACAGGGTCCTGACCCCCCATCTATGTGCTCTGTGCACCTACATGGGGATGAAGAAGAGAGGACAGAGTCCTGAGCCCCAGTTACATGCTATGTACATCTGTATGGGACTGTGGAAAAGGGGGCAGGGTCCTGACCACAAGCTACATGCCTGTGCTTTCCTGTGGGTCATTTTAAAGGGGAAGGAGGAGACTGGCTCATGATATGAGTCAGGTGGAGGCCTGGTCCTATTCTTGCCTCTCTTGCTGGGGTTCCTGCAAGAGAAGCCTCGAGGCCAACTGCATAGCTGAGCCAGGAGGGATGCAGCCCAGGATGCCACCAGCCCACCCGAGCCACTGTGTACGGGACACAGGGGAACTAGGATACTGTTCCTTCTTTGGTCATGGCCCAGTCCCAAAAGGTGATGCTCTGACCACACAAGGGCCCACATCAATGACCAGAGAGGAGGAGAACACCCAGGCCCTCATAGAAGGAACGAGGAGACTGTCTAGCTGAGGGGACCAGGACCAGCCCAAGTCCTGGCCAGTAAGTCACAGGCACCATGTTGCAGAAGACACTCACCTCCACCAGTGTCAAAGTTGGGGGTGCCATGGAGGATGACGAAATGCAGAAATAAGGGCGAGGCATTCATTTTCACCGATCCAGACAGGAGCCCACTGAGGAAATGGACGTACCTGCAAAGGACAGCCAGCATGGACTTCCCAGAAGCACCCTCAGCGCATGCCCAAGGAGGGACTTCCACAAGCACAGCTTCACTCTGCCTGGGGATCTGGAGAGAACCATTCCTGTTGCTCAAAACCACGTGGGGGTCTCAGTGTGGCTCTGCACCTCACATCTGGGCTTCCAACACTGGCTATGCAGACAACCGGGGACACTGAGGCACAAGCAGTCTCCTGGGCGTGAGCATCCCACATCTGGAAGACCTCCATACCTGTCCACCAAACCTACCACAGGGCAAAGTCAGGCCACAGGCCATCATGATCACCCTGGGGTGCAACAGGGAGCAGAGGCCTGGCACACAGGTAAGCGTGTGCTCTGTCATCAGCATCATGCCTGGGATGAAGTCATGTGACCCAGGCCTGGTGCTGCTCACCCTACCTGCTTTTGTGTCATGCCTAGGAGCCCTAAGAAAGGCTAGTGTCCACATTCCTATCCTTTGGTACCACGTCTCGGGTGAGAGGCACTCCTCCCTGCTGTTTCCTCTCTCTTCACAGCCCAGCTCCAAAGGTGAAGACCACTTAGGCTAGGGGCCTGGAAGACATGACTTTTCCTCTCTGGATTCCAGGTGTCCACTTCATGGGTCCAGTGCTGACTGCATACCCCTTCTGTGTGCATTTGGTGGTCAAGAGGGAAATGTGACTCTGGGAGCATCTTCAGTCTGGGATTCTGGGGTCTTCATGAGACACGATGGCAGCAGTGACTGGAAAGTAAGCTAAAGCTCTGCCATGCCAACCCCGAGATCCCTTGCCATGGGTACTGCATCCCCACAAGTGCCACTGTAGCACGCAGCACCTTGTATGGAATCTATGTGTTCCCACGTCTGTCTCCACCAAAGTATTGCAATCTTTGCAAGAAAGCACACTCACACACACAAATAACACACCCATGCAATATTTAACCATCTATGCATCTCTCTAGTGCCAACAGCAGACAGAGGCAGGAAGCGGTAAGAGACTGTCATCAGCACCCAGGACCACTCCCTCCCAGGATAGAAAGTTTTCTTACTTTAAGAAAAAAAAAAATCTCAAATTTACACCAGCGATTCAGATCCAGTCCCGATCCAAGCAGCTGAATTTGAATACAAAGCAAACTGAGCAAAAGGATCTTCCTGTTAGACACCACAAAAACAATTAAACCCCTGCTTAGAGTTTAGCCTCGTGAAAAATGTAGGAACAGAGTTTGCTTCAGCTTAGATACCCTGCAGAGCGAGAAACAAGGCACAGCAGTGTTTCCAACTTCTTGGCTGCTCCTTTGCTCCTTCAGAACAGGGTGAACACTCAGAAGAGTAGCAGAGGCTGGAAGCTTACCTCAGGACTCTCAGACCCTGTGAGGCCAATGACCAGGTCTTGACCAAGCCTCTAGACAGCTCCTACACGCCTGACAACAAGACTTCTTAACCTTCTGTAGACAGAGGAATGGGTGGACCAGCTATTTTTAATCACCTAAATGTTACGTGCTGCAGGTTGCAGAGGTGCTTTGGCTCCCTGCTTTTAAGTGAAGGTGAGAAATCACAGAACTTTGAACTTGAGAACCCGAGTCGCCCCACCTGGGGCATTTTGTCCCTCCCTCCAGCACCAGACAGCCCTGGTCGCTAGAGAATCTGCTTCTTTGGCATGTCCTGCTGGTCAGTGGCACGTTGCCTCTGCAGGCACCTGTTCATTTGCTTGGGCAGTTCTGTAGTGAGTGACCATACAGGTAAGATAGTCCTTTAACCCTGTGGATGTTCTCAGCACCTGATGTGTACTCAGGTTCAGGTGACCAGGTGAATCGGTACTTGTTTTACACTTTCATCAAATATGGAAGGTTCTGTGGCCCTGGGTCTCAGGAGCTCCTGTCAAGGGCAGTGTGAGGAGTCCGACTGGCTAACTCCAGAGTTACTGCCAGGAGGGGCAGTCACCCTCCAGGAACTGAGGCCTCTCCCTGACCCAGGCCTTGTCCCATGCTGTGGTCAGGGAAACTTCATTTCTGCTGACGTGGACTGGCCAGAGTTGTTGCCCATACCCCCAGAGAAAGCACAATAGGCTGTTTTCTTTCAGATGAGGAGGTTTCACCACGAGTTCCCAAAGGAGGCCAAAGTCCAGCCCCATGCCCAGGAGTGGAAGGGACGGGAATGAGGCTGCCCCAACTGGGACCCAGGAAAACAGAGAGTTGCCTCCCAAACTGGCTCTCAACAGTCACCAACTTCCTGAATCACTCCACAAAGGGCCATTCAGCACACAGTATAACCAATCAAAGAGTAACACTTTCAGAATAAACTCTCAGTATACAATTCTCAGCTGTCCTCTCAAGGAAACTACTTTTTATGAATTCATATTTTTAGGTAATGAAAGACACAAAATTTTAAGGTAAATGCAAGTTATTTTGTCCTTCACATGCTTTCTTAATAAGGAAATTAAAAAAAAAAAAAAAAACTGGCCAGGTGAGATGCTCACACTTATAATCCCAGTACTTTAGAAGGTCAAGGAAGAAGGATTGCTTGAGGCCAGGAGTTCAAGATTAGCCTGAACAATGCAGTAAGATCTCGTTTCTACAAAAAATAAAAAAATTAGCTGGGTGTGGTAGTGCATGCCTGTAGTCCTAGATACTCAGGAGGCTAAGGCAGAAGAATCACCTGAGCCCAGGAGTTGGAGGCTGCAATGAGCTGTGATGGTGCCACTGCCCTCCAGTCTGAATGACAAAATAAGACCCCAATTCAAAAAATTAAAAAACAGAATATTGTTCAAAGTGCCAAATAAATACACGACTTCTAAAAAAAAAACAAAAAGTAGCAATGCCTTATAGAAATAACAAAGCTCACAGCAAATATAAGCTATAGTCATTGCTGTAGAGATGGCAGGCAGACTGCATTGGAGAGCAATCTGTGAGTTTGCGGGTGACCACCTAGAGAGACATCATCAGCAACAAGGAAAATTTGAAGCATCAGACCATGGATAAAAATAAGGGGAAATAAAAATAATGCAAAAGGATCTCACAATTAGTTCACCTGGTCAACTGTGAAAAGAATTCATTTTAGCTTTGTACAAGGTGGGACACCAAAAAAACAAAAACAAAAAACAAAAAAAAAACAAACTCCGGAATTATCTTTTGGAAGTGGGCCCATTGTCATACACTCGAAATTTGTTCCTCCAGATCAGTCAACCAAAGTTTTTATCTGGAAGTTCTGAGAAGTCTGCCTCATGATTTGCGGGAAAAATGTCCCGAGTTGTGGCAAACAGGTGACTGGTTCTTCCACCATGATGACGCGCCTGTTCACATCGCACTAAGTGTTCAGCAGTTTTGGACCAAACACAGCATGACTCCCATGCTCCACCCTCCCTATTCACCTGGTCTCACCCCAGCAACTTTTTTTGGTTTCCCCAGATGAAAAAGTCCTCAAAGGAAAAAGTTTTGCTGTTGTGAAAGAGGTGAAACAAAAAATGGCAGAAACACTAAAAGGTATCAAAACTGACAAGTTCAAAAAATATTTTGAACAGCGGAAAAAATGTGTCTAAAGATGTATTACATCAAACGAAGAGTACTTTGAAAGTGATTAAAGTTTAAACATGTGAGAATATATGCACTTTTTAAAAAAAATAAATTCTAGATTTTTTTGCCCCCTCCCACATGATATTTACCTATGGCATTAAAGACAGGTATGAATGAATGAAATGAATAAATGAATACACGAATGAAATGAATAAATGAAATTTACCCTCTAAATACCATCCCAGCAGCCTTATCAAAAATAAAAAGTTTCTACTTAGTCAATACAGTTTTCACAGCCACACAGGCTAGAAGACAGATACTTTATAAAACAGTTCCATGATTTTCCCATCGCTATCTTTTCCTTCTTTTTTGGAAATAACTCTCTGGGGATGACGCTTTCCATGCTTTGTCTCAAACCAGTAAGTTTAAAGGGCACACACTTCAGACATGTTCCAAAGCAGATGGAAAAGTTCAGTTGTTCCTTGCATTATTTATAAGCACTTGTAAAAGAAAAAGGTTACATTTAGAATTTCCACAAACCTCCCGAAAAATTTGCACTTGACATTAGCTCAGATCCCTGAAAATGCATTCAAATGTTGCTTTTCTAAGCAACAGGAGTCACTGTGACAGGACATCATCCCCCACAGCAAACTGAGGCCACGTTCATGGCACTCACAGCATTGGTCACAGTCGCTGAAGCATCATGAACTAGCCAGGAAAGGTGAGCTGGGTCACTCTGCTTTGTCATTGAGAACCAAGTTTGGATGGTTGTTTAACATTCCTGAGCACTCTCCTTCCTTGCCTGGATGTAGCAATAGCATAATGACACCTGTGCTTTGGGTCCGATGCAAAGGTGAGTCTTGCATGGATGTAAGGGTCAGAGTAGGTTTTAAAAAAATGAGGACCATAGCCCTCCACTCTCTCCATGGGATACCGCCAGACTGCAAAAGTGGCCTTGTCCACAGAGCAGCTGACTCGGAGGAGGCAGCCAGGCCCAGCCAGTTTGTGGTTCCCCAAAAATTGGCCACCCTCCTCCAACTGCATTTTTGCAGGCCCGGGACAAGGAGGACATGTGGAGAGGGTATACAGTGGCAGAAGCACCACAGAGGCTGCACTCCTGGGCAGTAGCCTCCTTTAGACAGAGAAATTGAACTCTAACCCCCTTGCATTTTTCAAGTGTTCTTTCAGACACCAAAGGCATCGTGCCAAAAATGAAAAAAAAAAATCAAAAATCAAATACTGCTATAATTCCAGGATAATTTCTAGGACATCCTAATTTCCACATGCCAAAGTGTTTGTCGGGTTTCTCTACCTCTTACCCAAAGGGACACCCACGAGTTTGCAGAAGATGCGAGCTACGGTCCTAGGTGACTCCCACCCAGGGTCTCCCAGGGTCACTTTGCAGCCAATGCTCGAGAGAGGTCAGATCCCCCAAGGAAAGAACTGGCCACCTGCTACTCTCCCCATTTACTCAGAGTGATAGGGCGAGAAATGTGTGCAGCTGTTCAGACCCCTCACAAAGAAAGGAAGAAAAGAGAGAGGTCTGGAACTTTAAGAATTTTAATTCATCACTTCCATGATGTTGATGATAAACTAAGACCATGCTAGGATTTTTTTTTTTAATTACTCATCAAAGAGGAGGCCTCCAAGTTGAGTTCAGAGGTGCCTCTAACACAGAGGCCAAAGGCAGTAATGAACACCAGCACAAGGCCATATCAGAGCACCACATCGGGGCACCAACATGGTTTGCCAAAGGCAAGAGAGGTGTGAGATCAGACAACTTACAATGGATTGTGGCTACCCGGCTTCCCCGCAGACAGCTCTGTGGATTTTAAGACTAGTGAACAAAGGAACAAAGAACGCACTTCCCACCAAATAGACATGGAGCCTGATGAGCACACCAAAGTCGGCTTGTGTCATCCGAAGGCTCTTCGGAGGTGTCGGTACCGCTCAATGTCTGCTGTGAAGTTGCTGTTGAGACTTCAGGGCTTCCTGGCCACAAACCTCAAGCTCACTAGTCACTCTCAGGAGTGGTTTTGAAACAATTTCTAGAGCTCCATCCTAAAAGAACCTGCAGAGCATGAATCCCTCTCCCCGAGGGCATTCCGGACAAGAGAGAAGGCTCCCATCAAAGATCCTGTTCCCATAAAAGTGGTTGTCACCTGTCCTTCTGGTCTCAAACAACCTTCCATATTTACCCTACGCATTCACTCAGCCATTCCCCCACTCAATAACCATTGGGTGAGAGCATCTTCTAACGCACGCCTTGGCCAAGGTAACAGGAAAGCAGCCAAGGATAAGGAGCACTCCCCTAATCTTGAGTGCAGGGAGACTAACCTTGGAATGCAAAGTTGAACCCAGCCACTGTTCACAAAAAGTAAACGCTATGGCCTCCAACAGGCAATGACAGGAAGGATTCATGAAAGCCTGGGCATGCGACAATGAGGCAGTATTTCCCGCTTTTCTCCCACACCCACTTAATGTTATTAACAAGCTGCTGACGCAGTGAGTAACAAGAACAAAATGAAGGAAGAAAGCATTTTGTATGGGTTATGTCCTGTGTGAGCCTCATCTTCTATGCGGGAGGTCGTGTGAATGTCACAATTCTGGAAACTGTTAGAGAAATAACAGTGATTCAAAAAAATCCCCAAGGAGCTGTTTAACTATAATACTAATAAAATGCTGGCCTTTTTGCAAGCACCTTGCAGTCTATGTGGGGCATATTGCTCGGAGCAAGGCACAGCCGGGTGCTGACCCACGGTCCCACACCCTTGCCTATGTTCCTCCAACACACTCAGTCTCAAGAGAAACGGAGCCAGGAAACACGAAGACCAAAGGAGAAGGTGCCTCTGGGGGCGGTCCTTGAAATCACTTTCCATGTCCCCCATGTCTGATGCAGCCCTTGGTTATGCCAGAGACACAACTGTGAGAGGGATTGAGACTCACATATAAAGGGTGGGTGTACAACAACCCTATCTCCAAGATGCAATACCATTTGGCAACTGCCTTGGCAATTCTTGTACAAATGCCATGATGTTTGGTTTGAAATAAAAATGCAACAGAGCTACCTGCTTGGCTCCAGGTGTCACCACCTGCAGAGGAAGTATGTCTGGATGGGGAGCTGGCTACGGGGCCCCTCTCACTGCCTCTCACCTGACCCTGCTCTTGACCTCAGCTCGCTGATGCAGGCAGCAAAAGGAGAAAGTTCTGCTCGTCCACAGCTATTTCTCAGCACTTACTGGGGACCTCCCAGGAGCCATGTCGAAAAGCAGAGCAAGGAGAGACGAGTGATATGAAAGAGTAATACTCACTGGGCTCAGGGAGCTGATGGGCTAGTACAAGAATTAGCCAAATGCAACCTGCTAACATGTTTGTGTCAATAAAGGTTTACTGGAAAACATACATCCGCATCCACTGATTTCTGTATTGCCTAAGGCTGCTTTCATGTTAGAAAAGTTAAGATAGGGACCACGCGGCCTAAAATAACCACTCACTAGCCTGCTACAGAAAATGTTCACTGAGCCCTGGTCTAACAGATAGAAACAAATCCCAACACAATAATGGAAACCAATTCATTTGCTGTGGGAGAAGAAGACCCCAACTGCTGCGAGGGGAGAGAGTCCTCAGTCTACCTCTCCTGAAGCAAGCCAGTGCTGTAGGGTGTAGGGGGCTCTCTCACTGCAGACACGTAGGGTGCCCGTCTCCTCTCCTCCAGGCATGAACAGGGACATTGTTTGGAGGGCGAGATGGAGGGGACACCTTTTCTGTACTCATATTTTTAAATGTAAAATGTCATTCACTTTTCACTCTGGCTCCAGGGATGTATACATACCGTTTCTGGGAAGGCTGCATTAAAGCTGAAACTTTGTCATCATAAAACTTCTTCATGGCAAATCTGTCAAGGGCCTGGTCAGCACTGGGGAAGCAGACAGAGAAGAAGAAAGAGATGGGGGGGGGATAAGGGGGGGGGAGAGAGAGAGAGAGCGCGTCAACTCATTGGAGCTCTTGCTGTGTGACTGGGTGACCACGGACATGTCCCATAGCTGTTCCAAGTGACCAGCTCCCACAAGGAGCGTTGTTCTTGGTTGCACCTGTGCATAACCATCTCCTCTTAGACTTCATTTTCTCTTCAGGAAATGTTTAGTGCCAAGTGGAAGCCACATCTGCAGGGTCTCAACTCTCATCTGAAATACCAGCACCTTATGAGGGCATGACACTTATATGTGGGGCATACCCAGTCTGCAGGAGAACAGGCTGAGATTCTCTGCATGCAGGTGGCAGGGGTGGCGTTCAAAACCATCCCATGGCCACCCCAGCTCCCAAACAAAGGAGGTCAGCTAAAGTGGGTTCTGCTGGAGACAAGCAGGGCAGACCAAATTCTCAGGACCATGAGGCTGTGGGAGCAAGCCAAGAGCATGACAGTGATTACACAGCCTGGTAAGTTACAACAGGCATGTCTGGACACATATGGACCAGGCCATGTTCTGGTCAATATGTCACTTCTAGGACCAGGCTTGAGAAGGTGCAGGATGCTGTAGTCCCGGAGGCAGGAGGGGGCGGTTGGAAAGGTGTCTGAGGTCGCAGGGCAGCACAGTTATGTTTTTGAAGCGACTGCCGCAGAAAGTAACCCTGCTTTCCACAATGCAGCTGACATTAAACTTCAGTTCCACAGTGCCCACAAGTAGTAGTCAAAAGGACTTCCGGACACCTCATAGCAGGGCATCCGTGACCTGGCACAAATCATGGAACAAGAGTCCAGTAAGTCTTAACAACTCAGACTCGCCTGAGCCCAAAGCATCCCTAAAACTCTGACAGCAGTGTAGGCCCTTTCCTTAGAAAAATGTGTATGTGTCTCTCCAGAAAAATGACATACATAAGTATTTTGAACATCATAAAAACAAATGCAGAGAGACAGGAAAAAGGAAAAATCTTCCAAATCAAGTTTATGTGACTTGACTTTCACTGAATGCTATGAAATGGAGAACTTGCTACTTGTATTTGTGTCAACAAGGGACTGGGCTGGTGGGCTGTCACAAATGGAAGGAGCCACGTAAGGACCCAACAATGTGTGAAAACACACTGGGGAAGATGTATTTTTTAAGTGGAAAAGTATAGTCACAATCTACTCATTGACTAAGCACTCGCTTATCCAGAATTTACTGGTTTAAGGAAATGCTGATAATACGTTTTAGCCAACGTTCATGTCAATATTTCACATTTATATCAATATCATGGTAAATAATAATATCGAGGGTGCCAAACATATATACACATTTTAAGAAATGTTCGCCATAATCAGAAATTTCCGGACGCTGATGGCAACCACTTTGAGTGCTTCTTGTAATTGCGGAAGTCACATATGACTTGTATTCATTTATCTATTATTAACAGTATGTATTACCATTTCAATGCAGTTTTTTCCTTTCTTAAATGTATAAAACTTTTTGGCACCCTCTGTACTGGTGTTGGCTTTGTCCTTTTTTTGGGTGCTGATACAGAAATGTACTTCTTAGTGTGTGACCTGCAGTTTCTGTTTTGTTCTGTCTGCGGTTGGTGAGAGAGGTCTTAAACCTATGTGGTCCCTAGGATTCCCCTACGCCTGATTACTATTCTTCTTCTTCAGTATAGTCTAAGTGGGAGGCCTGTAGAAATGATCACAGACATGTGTGTAAGAATGTGTTCATTATGGCATGTTTGCAGCAGAGAATACTTGGAAGCAATCTAAGCTCAAAGAAAAACTGGAAACAACCTGAATAGGCAAAATAGGTGAGTGCTTAAATACATAGTATTATATCCAAAGAAGTGCTATGCACCCTTGAAATAATGCTGGGGAAGACATGTGAAATGGTGTTAGCATAGAAGACCAGGTTACTAGCTGGGCGCGGTGGCTCAGCCTGTAATCTCAGCTCTTTAGGAAGCCGAGGCTAAGCGGACTGCCTGGCCCTGGGGGTTCGAGACCAGCCTGGGCAATTTGGCAAGACCTTGTCTCTACAATAAATCACAATAACTAGGCAGGCATGGTGGTGTGCGGCTGTAGTTCCGGTTACTTGGAAGGCTGAGGTGGAAGAATCGCCTGAGTCCAGCAGGTCAAAGCTGTGGTGGCCGTAAGTGTGCCACTGCACTCCAGCCTGGGTGACAGAGTGAGACTCCAAATCAAAAAAAAAGAAAAGAAAAGAAAAGTAGGTTACCAAAAGTGTGTGGGGTCAGCCCATTTAGTGGAAAGGTACTTGATACTGTTACTCCTACTAATAACAGAAGCATTAATAACAGCTAATACCTGAGTACTGATGCTGTTCTAAACACATTGCATGTAATGACACATTGCCTTGTCACAATACTCTGGGCGGTATGGCTATTATTACCACTGTCCTGGTGAGAACATTGACACTTGGATTCAGGTAAATTGCCTGATATTTGCAGCTGAGATATGTATTGACTATTCATAGAAAAGAGTTTCTAGAAAAAGTGTCAGAGATGTGCTTTAAATGAATTAAGCCCTTACTCTCCATTTTTCCCCAAAATGCTAAAACCTTGGATGAGATAGAACTACCTTGGGCAGCAGAAATGTTCAGGGTGATCTCTGTCCACAACCAACCAGGCTAAATTTGGTCTCCCACCAGGTATCTTTGGCATAAGAGGGATGGACATAACCAAGAATCTCGATGTGTCTGGCACACACAGATGACTATTCTCAACCAGAGAGGAGCTGATTTTCACTTGGGGTTTGGATTTCCTTCCTGGCAAGTACCAGCTCCCCAATTTGTTTCCAGAGAAAACATCTGGAAAGTCAAATCACACTTCTTGGTGCTAGAATGGAAAAGGTTTATCGGTTGATATGAAAAGGCTTCTATTTCCCGAGAGAGGAAGCTCAGGCTTCACAAAGTGGCCATTGAGAAGGTGGGCGTGAGTGATATTTTTTGAATGGAATCTCAGCGTGATTGGAGATCTGTGCTCTGGGAAGCACACTAGGGTAAACTATGGCTGCCCAGTGTCAGGAAGGCCAGTACAGAGCTGACATTCTCATGGTCCTGCTGTGTCCATCGCGCCCGGTGGAGGGAACCCCAGCAGTGCCTCAAAAGTCCCTACAATTACAGTTCTACCTCTTTAGAATTGACCCACACCTGGCTTCTCACTCACAGGCTGTGAGACTGTGAGCTAGCTGCCTGGGCCTTCTGAGCCTCAGTTTCCTCATCTGTACAATGGGAATGATAATAACTGTTTCGTTGAGGGAAACTCCCCGGGGGTATGACTCTTATTACTCTGGGCAGTATGGCTACTATTACCAGTGCCCTGGTAAGGACACATCTCACCAGGGTGCACACCTCATCAACAAGGGTACCTGTACAATGACCACAGAATTGTACCACACATCTTTAAATTTAAAAATTAAAAAAAAATAACTCATGGGTTAGTTGAGAGAATTCAGTGAGAAAGGGAAAATATTCAGTGTACTTTCCAGAGACCTGGTATATGCAAAAAAACAGTTGTTATCACCATCATTATGTATAAGGCATGAACTGATCCAGTGAGACACTCTGTTCTTGCTTTTCATAATGGTGACATTTATCTCTGCTATTTTTATTAGGGAATGACAGTGCACTCACTTTTTTTTGTAATGCCTCCATGGAAGTACTTGGAACCAATCATACATAGCCACCTAACCAGGAAAATATCTTTTTCACAAATACAAACCCTTAACTAGAAGTTGATTTCTAGGCACCAGCACCAGGGGGACAGGGGAAAACAGGTCAGCCTAGCCTTTAGCAGCCAGGACAAGTGGTCAGCCTCACACCCCATGCAGCCTCAGCTTTCAACACCCCAAGGCAGCAAGCTGACATCTTTGTCCTACCTGGCCGAGACGTTGGTGAAGTGCATGTAGGATGATATGACCACTCCTATGCGTCCTTTCCCACCCTGCAGGAGACAAAGGATGAGTTAATTTTCTCTGGAATCCCACGTCAGAATCAGAAGGGGAAAACACTCACTCGTGGACAGAATGGCAGAGAGCTTGCTTTGGAGGTTAGACCAGTGTGAACCCCAGCCTCCCTATCCCGAGACAGTCAGTTCCCCACCCAGCTGAAGCCTCCGCAGCAGGGAACCGGCAGCCAGGTGCTGACAGCAATAGCGGGCGCTAACCGGAGCAGCTATGGAACCCCATGAGGGAGACTGACACAGTAGCAGTCCATCATTTCACCCAATTAGGCTGGAAGAAACTGTGCCAGATACTGCAGCAATTAGTACGACTTAATTACCCAGGTGAGACAGAAGCAAATGCCTGCTCAAGGGCTGATGATGATCAGGGATGCATTCACAGCTCAGTCCAACAGGACACTGATTCCAGCACCCTGGCAGCATAGCCAGTGCCTGAACTCGGGGTACCACCCATGCTGCTGCCTCTTGTTACACACACATGCACCACTGACCCCAGCAGGCTTTATGGGAAAGGAATACTCAAACCATAACCACAGACACCCACAGCCCAGCCCACAGGCTGACAATACTAGCAAGAGAAGGGGAAGCTACAACAGGACACCCTCATACAGAACCATAGATTGCCACCTTCCAGAACATACTGCTATGACCTATTACAGTGGCCAGCAAACCACAGCCCGTGAGCCAATTCTGCCCACTACCTGTTTTCCTACAGCCTGTGAGCTGAGAATCATTTTTACATTTTGAAACCGTTAGAGAAGAGTTTTTTTAAAAGTAAGACATGGTGGCATGTGAAAATTCTTTGACATTCAAATGTCAGTCCTATCCATAAAGTCTGCTTGGAAGCCATCCACCCCTGTTTGTTCACATACATCCAGGGCTTCTTCCTCTCACACTGAAGGAAGAGGTTTGAGTATGTGCAAGACCATGAAGCCTGAAAAATAAAAAATACCATCTGGCTCGTTTAAAAGACATTTGCCAACTCCTGATCTAGAATCACAGAAAGCCAAAATGGCAAGGCTGTTCCTATGTAGCTCCCTAACTTCTTAAAAAAGGAACAACTGAGAACATTCAAATCAAAATTCTGATAGACCCACAATCAATAGGTGAATGTCACCTGGGAGTGTTCTTTGTTCTGTGCAATGGAAGTCAAGAGTATGCTTTACAGATATTCAATACAGATAAACCCATTGCAGTCAAATACTGGCATATGCAGCTATTAACTATATAGCTACTAGTATGCTTTTTGTAAGAAACTATATTTTGACAGAAATTCACCTACAAAGAAACATCACCACCTCAGCTAAAACAGGCACACATGATGGTGGTATTCACCCCTGATATCAGTCGCTTTTGTAGCACTAGTTATGGATATACAAAGCAAATATTAATAAGTCTGAAGGGAGAGACCATAATACAGTAACAGTAGGAGACTTCAATACTCCACTTTCAACAATGAACAGATCACTCAGACAAAAGAAAGCTTGCAGTAAGAAAACTGTACTTTAGACCAAATGGACCAAGCAGACATATATAGAACATTCTATCCAATAGTATCAGAATACACAACTCTCAAGTGTACACAGAAGATTTTCCAGGACAGAGAATACGTTAGGCCACAGAACAAGTCTTAACAAATTTAAGGAGACATAAATCATGTTAAGTATCTTTTCTGACCACAATGGTATGAAACTGTAAAGCAATACAAGAAGAAATCTTGGGAAGTTCACAAATGTGTAGAAATTAAGTAACAAGCTCTTGAACAATCACTGGGCCAAAGACAACTCAAAAAAAGAAAGAAAGAAAAAAAAAGGTAATTAAAAGGGAAATTTAAAAATATCTTGCAACAGAAATGAAAACAGCATACCAAAGCTTATAGGATGCAGCAAAATCAGCTCTAAGAGGGAAGTTTATAGCAATAAATGCCTATACCAAAAAGAGAAGAACGCTCTCAAGTAAAAAAAACCCAATGTTGTTTCTTAAGGAACTACATAAAGAACAAACTAAACCCAAAGTTAGCAGAAGAAAGAAAATAACAAAGATCAGAGCAAAAGTAAATAAAATATAGCCCAGAAAAGCAATTTTAAAAATCATCAAGACTAAACATTTTTTGAAAAGATAAACAAAATTCACAAAGCTTTAGCTAGACTAAAGTAAAAAGAAAGACAAACAAAATCAGAAATGAAAGAGGACATATAATGGCTGATGCCACAGAATTAAAAAAGGATAAAAAAGATGACAAATAATGATATGCCAACAAATGGGATAATCTCAAATAAATGAATAAACTCCTTGACACATACAATCTCCCCAGACTGAATGATAAAGAAATAGAAAATCTGAACAGACCAATAATGAGTAAGGATATTGAATTAGTAATAAAAGTCTCCCATTAAAAAAATAAAATGCCCAGAACTGGATGGCTTTACTGGTGAATTCTACCAAACTTCTAAGGAAAAAAATAGTATCAAGCCTTCTCAAACTCAGGTATATATGACTTGAATATTTGTCTTCTCCAAAACCCATATTCACACTTCAACCCTCGTGTGTCAGTGTTGAGAGTGGGGCCTTTAGAAGATGACCAGGTCATAAGGGCTTCACCTCATGAATGGATTAATCACGGATTAATGGGCCATCATAGGAATGGGAGCTTGATAAGAAGAGGAAGAAAGACCCCAGTTACCACTTTCAGCTCCCTCATCATGTGGCCCCTTGACCTTGGACCTTTCAGGCTCCACAACTGTAAAAAATAAAGTCCCTTTCTTTACAAATTACCCAGTTTCTGTTACAAGCAAAAGAAATCAGACTTAAAAACTATTCCAAAAAATTGAAGAGACAGGAACACTTCCAAAGGCATTTTATAAGGCAAGCAAATAAAATATTTTTTTACAAGAGCCAGACAGTACTTTAGCTTTGCAGGCTGCAGGGTCTTGCTGCTGCTACTCAAATCTGCCAGTGCAGCGTGGGTGGGAGCAGCGTGGACCTGCACAAGTGGGGTGTGGCCATGTCCCAATCAAACTTTATACATGGGACTAAATTATAAATGCATATAATCTTCCTGTAAACACAACTCTCAACTCACAGGTCGTAGGAAAACAGGTAGTGAACACAATCAGCTCCTGGGCTTTTGTTTTATGGCAAACAGCATTCTTTTGGACTTGAGTAGTCTTGGTCTGTTCCTAACAAAAACCACAGAACTGCCGATTGCACAATCTGCTGTGGGTTTTCTTCACCACGAATCCAGAAACAAAAGGTGTGGTGTGGATGAGATCCCCCAAAGAACTGCAGGCTCCTTCTGCCCAATCAATAACGGGGGGTGGATGGATGAAGGGGAGACTGGACACACCCACACCCACACAGCCCTTCGTATAAAACAGCAGAATGGGAAACCCGGCAAGACAGACCCTCACTCTGTTCCTTCCCAGGCTGAGACAGGCCCAGCTATGTCAGTAATTCCTGGCATGTGTGGAAGGAAACGCACATTCTGCAAAGCTGGCGGATTTTGGCAAATGTCAGCGATTTCACCCCCGCAGCGATGATGATGAACTTCTGTTAACGTCAACATCAGCAATTCCAAATTAAAAGAGGACTAATCTCTCAGGGCACGTTTTCTGAGTGTTTCTAACATGGTTGACATGATACCAGAACAGCGCAAGCAGTTAACACATCACTTCCGAGGAGGTTCAGCATGTTCTGATAAATCCCACTCACAAGATGAGTCCAGAAAGTCCAAAGTGACTTAGGGAAAGGATGCATTTTAGAAATCTCTAAGGCGATAGTTTCATCACTGGACTCACGTGCTTTAACTAATTTGATGATTTCATTCAAAAATTGAAGTGAACAACGAAAATGGAATGAATGACTAAGAGTGGTGCTCTGCCCGCCCGGCAACTCCAGATCTCTGATGATGCAGCTGGCAGCAGGCTTGGGTGAGCCTCAGAACCCAATTCTCACAAGTCTCCAGGTGCTGCTGCTGGTCCCAGCCCACAGGTTAGAAATGCTGCTTCCTGAACCCGAGGGTTCAAGACCAGCCCGGGCAACCTGACGAGACCTCATCTCTACAATAAATCAAAAATTAGCCGGGCATGGTGGCACACGCCTGTAGTTCTGGCTACTTGGAAGGCTGAGGCAGAAGGATCGCCAGAGCCCAGCAGGTCTATGCTGGGGTGGCTGTGAGCGTGCCACTGCACTCCAGCCTGGGCGATGGAGTAAGACTCCAACTCAAAAAAAGAAAAAAAAAAAGAACTGCTGCTTATAACAACTTATCAAGTGATCTCAGGCAACGATGACCCATCCATATTAGAAGCACTATGTCAAAATCACCAGGCCAAGCCTGAAAAGCACAGATTGTTTTAACTGACAATAACTGTATAAAAGTCTCCCACTCTCTCTATATATTTGCATGAAAACACAGTTTTGAGTGGGGGCTCCTTAATTTCATACAATTCTTGAAAAAGGCCAGAGTAACGTAGACAATTTGGTAAGAGGACTAATGAGACTATTTGTCTATCTTGAGGAGATATGATCAAGTTAGATGTGAGAAAAGAGACAACACCGGAGAGAAACAAATGATATCTATGCATGTGCACCTGAGTGAGGATTTACACACACCGAGTGCCCATCAAATGCCACAAGTATGGCAACTGTGAGCACCACAACAAGCTGTCCTGCATCAGCTTATGAGACCGCAGGACCTTTGCAGGAAAGTTATACCAAAAGACAACTTACAGGGAAGAGTCTTCTAAACTAAATTCCATAGTACAATGGATTTTTGTGCAGCTTTTGAGTGTGAAAGACAGTCGGGAGGCAGGGGACAAAAACACACTTCCATCTTGAACTGTCAATAAACATTTCCAGGTGTTTTGGTAGTCCTAAGAATGCAGTGCCAAACACACAGTAGGGAGGTGTGCTATGATGAACAGTGAGCCCTCCCCGTGTCACCCTGCATCATCCCTTCCCAAAGGATTCTTTCTATCTCAAGGAATATCTGGTACAAGAGCTTTTCTCTTATAAGTGTCTCGTGGGAAGGTTAAGATTCGCAGGCTTGTCCCTCTGGAAGTTTGATTTCAGTCCAGCCCCTTTCAACACCATCACATTTGAGGCATCAGGGATGACACAGGCAGCTGAGAAACCTGAGAACTAGGAGGAAAGATCCTAGCAGGTGGGGGGAGGAGGAGGCATGAAAGAGCCAGGGCAGCCAGGAAGAACGCCCTACAGCCAGCGCCTGGGCCACCAGCAGTGTGAAGGCACACCAGCCCCCGCCACCCTGGGGAGGTGCACAGGCCACACGCCACTGCCCTGACTCCACCTGGAAAGGACCACGTGTTTGCTACGATGGCACTGAGCTGACTTCACACGTCCATCCACCAATGACCATAACTCGGATGGCTCAGCAAGTCTGACGTTGCCCATTGGCAAGGTGTCTTTCTCTAATTTTAAAAAGGGCTTTCCATGAAGAGCAAAAAGGATCAGATATGAAAGGGTTTGCTCTCGTTACTGTCCATCATTAGTTTCCAAATGTTCAGTTACACATTCAGGAGCCTCAATCCTATACATTCTAAGGTGAAACTCAGGAAGGTTTGGTGATTCTTTTTTTTTTTTTTTTTGCTTGTTTGTTTTTAAGGACAAAGAGGGAAATCTAACCACAAACCCCAAAGGAGCAAACTACACTAGCTGATCGTCAGTGCAGAAGCATGGCTCAGCAGACCACCCACAGGGCCAGCACTGGCCCCCTTATCCCCTCCTCCAGTGGCTGAAGCCCAGCCTCCCTTGAGTCATGGGAGGCAGGAGCACTCACCCTGCAGTGAATGACCACTACATGTTGGGGGTCACTGTTCAGCCAGGACTCCTGCGCCTTACAGATGGTGCACATCTTATCCAGGGGTGGTGCATGCAGCTCTGGCCAGCCCACGTCCATAATCTACAATAAGAGAGGAGTGTCCTCAATTTCCATTTCCTGAAGCCTTCCAAGGGTTCATTTAGATGAATTCCTTAGTCTTTTTCTCTATGTACATTTAGTATGACTGGGATGTTACCATATGTAAATTCTATATTCTACTTTTGTTAATTAGTATTAAAATAAGCAATTTACCATATTACTATGCTGTTACACTAATGTCTGCAAAATATTCTAACATACAAAATATATGTACATACACACATACACACACACTCTCATACATACACACATACCATAACTTATGCTTACACAGTCTTGAATTTTTCCCCCCAAATTTTGCTATTAAAAATAATCATGGAAGAAGTGTATGGTTGTGACTATGAAGAGGTAGCAGGAGAGAAATCTTTGCGGTGCTGGAAATGTTCTGCATCTTAGCTGTGGTGGTTATACAAATCTATACACATAAAGTGGCAGAGAGAGAAAGAAACACACAGACCCAGACACAGATACAGATACACACACACACACACACACACACACACACACACACACACACACACACACACACGTGCATGCCAAACTAGTGACATGTGAATGAGGTCTGTGGACTGCACCAATGTCAACTTCCTGGCAAAGACATTTTACTACTAGTTTTGTGAGTTGCTACCACTGGAGTAGACTGGGTGAGGTATACATACGCTCTCTCTTATTTTTGTACCTTCCAATGAATTGATTACTATTTCAAACTAAATTTTTATTTAAGAAAATAACCAATGGGCATAATTCCTAATACCCCTTTCAAAGAGTAGCAACAAATGATTTTTGCCCAAGTAGAATAAGATTTGTTCACATTTGACAAAATTCAGAATATACAAAAGATAAAGTCCTTACCTTTGGGTTAAGCTTTGTAAGGTCATATCTCTTTTCTGAAAGATTTAATACCTACAAAAGGGAAAAAGAACTTTTAGACAAATTCTCAGACCCAGAGACAAAAGACAAAAACACAGTTCAATCTCTACATGCTGTTTGCCTCCAAGGTATAGAGGACTGTGAAAGATTGAAATGTATAGATATGTGCATTGTCACAAAGTTAAAAAACAAACAAAATTATGATAACACAATGAAGTCTTACAAATAAACTCTACAAAAATTGTTAATTTATATGAAAACAGGCATTGTACCGTGTTACTATACTGTATTTTAAAGGCTGCAAAATATTCCAACACATAGAATAGAAACATCTATATATACCATATATATGTGTGTGTGTATGTATATGATGTATATGCACACATGCACATATACATCATATACATACACACACACATAAATATATATATACCATAACTCTCCTAGTCTTACTCCTGGAGAACACAAACTTTCTCAGGAAGAAGGAGGTACATGGTAAGGAGGGAAGTCCCTCCTTTGTGGTGTGGCAGACCCAGGCCTGCAAAGGACTGAGTTCACCACCAGCTGAGAGCCATGTCCTAAGTTCACCAGAAAAATCAGAGCTGTCTGTGGAACCTTGTTAAATTCTCAAGCAAACCAGAAAATAATAATCATAATAATGTTCCAGGAGCAAGAGGCTTAAACATTAACTGGACATCCCTCTCACTTCAGAGACAGAGCCACGAGGAAAGTGGAGGGTCAGGGCTTGTCTCAGTCACCCAGTGAGTTCGGCTTATAACAGAAGGGGGCTGTATTGCTCTGAGTCAGGATCCATGGTTCATAATCAACCCCGACACAAGCTATCTCCTGTGCCTACTCAATGTCGGCCACATCTTGGCCCTGTTAGAATCGTCAGGGTCACAGCTGCCCGTGATCAGAGGTCCCAGAACACCGCAGCATGACAAGACATATCCCCTACATGGTTTGTGGGTTTGGAGACAATTTTGTTTTCACTTCTAACTGTTGGATGTCTACAGAGAGCAGAGATGAGTCGGTCTTGCGGCCCTTAACTTAGAGTTAGTATAAGACATGGTTCTTTCTTCAGGTTTTCAAAAACATTCTCCTCTCAAAACAAGTAGGGAACCCCTCTAGTCATTTTGCAGGTGGAACTCTGGCCCCAACAAGGCCCCATATGACCTCAAGGGAAGAAATGCCCCCAGATGCAGCCCAATGCCATCCAGAGCCCCGGGTCCTTGCATGGTCTTCTTGGGGAAGGTGGACCAGGGAAAGGTTTAGGGATGGCCAAAGAGGAGGCTCAGGATGCACCCAACCTGGGTACAGCTTCCAAAGAAGGGAGCTGTGACCCTGCAGAACAGACCACCTCTGTGATAAAGAAAGAAGCCCTGGAGAGGACAGACTCTGATGAGAAGCACAGCCATCAGACAGGGCTGGGAGACCACTTCCCTGTCCATGGCCAGGGCACAACTAGGATGAGCTTCTAGGGAGAAAGAGGCAGGAGCCTGGGCAAATCATGGGGTCAAAGCAGGTCCCTATAGAGGAGCGCCTGGGCTAGGGTTGCTCTGGCATTGGACAGAGGCCACATCCCACCCTGCTGCTTGGTTCCACCTTTCCCAGCCCAAGTGTAGAAGTCAAAAACAGACCGGCCAGGAAGACAATGACTGCCTTGTCAGCTTAAGGGAAAGATTAGCTCCACTGTAGATAAGGAGGCCTTAGCAGGCAGGTAAAGAGAAGGTGTTTGAGAGCTGTAATTCAGCCCCAGTAGTGACCGCAACATAAGAAGACAGGTCTCCACATGGGGAAGCTACCCTGATAATGGAAAACAAGGGGCTGACGGGAGGATGAGGATTAGTGGGAGGCTGTTCTGTATTTTCATCAAATGTGCATTCCACCACCAACTTCACACGTGTGTTCTGAAAATCGTGTGCTTTCAGAACAAACCCTGGCTCCTTGGATGCCTACCTAATTTGTTGCCCTTATTTCTAGTTCCAGAGAATCACAAGTCTGCTTTTTGATACCAGGGCTGCAGCATGAGACCTACGGAAAGGAAGTGGCCAGCCAGGCCATGTCCCTAGGCTCTGGAGAGCTGGCCTTACTAATGAGTGTGGGATGAGGCAGCGGCCACGCCTGGATCGGCTGTCACATATGTCTGAATGCTACCAGGAAGGTGCACGACACTCAGCAGAGAGGCAGGGCGCAGGACCAACACCACCACAGGTCACTGTGTGAGTTCAGGTTCCAGAGTCTCCTCCTTATTTGTAAATCAGGGATCTGCGGGTGCCTGCAATACACACAGCACTCACTGCAGAGTCTGCCCAGAGGCTCCCTGGACCATCTTGGGCTACCAGGAGCCAGCCCCAGTGCTCACCAGGTAGTTGTCCCCATGCTTAGACTTGAGCATGCGCGTGACCTCCTGTAAGTTGTGCAGGTAGGACTCCTCGGAGCAGCCGGCGGGAAAGGACACAGCGATGATGCGCTCCGTGATGTAGGTGAGGTCCAGCTCATGACCCTCCTCCATGGCGGGGCTCAGGACAGAGGGCCTGTGAGAAAGGAGGGCTGGTCAGAAACCAGAACTACGGAAGGGGGGAAAGAGAGAGGGGACAGCATTCATCCTCTTGAGGTTGCACCCGAGACCCTGGCATGGCAGCTGTGGGAGTCTGACTAGGGTTCCATTGTCCACACAGCTGTCCAATCACAAGAGGGCACTAAAGAGGGATCTAAATTTCCTCGTGGGGCATGACTGGGTGCTGCAAGCCACCAGGCAGGAAATAAGCAGCAGAAAAGACGTTCAGAGCGGTGATGCAGGGGCTGGGATGGACAAGTATGAGGGTGCAGGGCGTGGGCGGGAGGGGCTCCTTGCAGGTTCACTGAGAGTGGGTGTGGGTAGCACACTGGACTCTGTGAGGGGGGAGCCTGAGCGTCACTTTGAGGTGTCAGGGTCAGCCCGAGGCAGCTGGGAGGACGTGCACTGCGGGCACGGGGATGGTGTGAGCAGAGGCCGGGGCTGCTGGACATCAATATGCAGCTCCCCATGTCTACGTCTGGGGGGACAGGTGTGGCCAAGGACTGGGCTAGTGAGGTGACTGGGCCAGAGAGTGGAGGACCTCCTAGGCTCAGGGAAGAGGCAGGACCTCACCTTGGAGAGGGGATAGAGCTGGAGAGGAATTTCAGCAGCCATGCAGCCAAGTGGCATTTCATGGGAGGAGCTCGATGGCTTCCATCAGAAGGCTAAGGGCATTGTGGGGCTCTGCTGGGACCTCACCTGGTAAACCCCCTGCACGGGGAGGCAGGGCAGACCACACAACTGGGCAGGCACCCGGGTGGGAAATGAAGATGTGTGTGGGAGGAAGGCAGACAGAAACATCCACATAGACAGAAACAGTCACACTCAGCAGGAGCTGGGAGCTTGGCACCCATGTGACTCGGAGACAAGAGCTCCCCGCATTCCACAGCTTCTCCACGGTCCCTGCAGTGCCCCAGGAAAGCTTGAGCCCTTCCCAGGAGGGCCCCTAACATCAGGGCTGAGGATGGTGTCCAGGGAAATGATCCAGGAGAGGGAACGGGGCCAACTCTGAGTGGGGACAAGGTGAGTCAGGGAAGCAGATTCCCAGGATGTGTGCATTCAGTCCTTCCCAAGTGCTGCCACCAGCTTTAGGCTTTTGTTTGTAATTCGTATGTGTTTCTTTTTCTTTTCTTTCTTTTACTTTTGGAAAAACTCAAACATATTTTTTAAATGGTTCTACAAACCTTCAAGTACCCATCACCCAACTTCAAAATGACCAACACAGGCCACCCTCTATCAATCAACACCTCCAGCAATCTCCTCCACCCTTTCGACTGCTCTGAAGCAATCCCAGATATAGCATTTCATTTATAAATCCCATAAAATTGAGTTCTAAAAGATAAGGCTGTCTTTTAATTAAAATTTCCACAATGCCATTAACACACCTCCAAAAGAAATCATAACATCAAATATCTATCATAATTTTTTGTTGATTTATTGAAATCAGAATCCAAACAACTCAAGGTTTCTTTCCTCTGCCTTACTTATCAGACAGATGCAAAAGAGTTTTGATGATTTTTTTGAAAAATCCTATCCTATTTTTTGAACACTGTTTTTAAAAAATGTGCCTCCTATACCATCACGATTCACAGAGAGTTTAGCTTTCAGGCACTGACGGAGGAGGGGGCCCCTCAGGCACCTGCTCTGAAAGAACTTTCTAAGCAATCTCATCAATCCATCTACTCAATCTAATCTAATCTCCGCAGGGCACTCTAATCAACCTTGGAAACTTCTCCCAAAAAAGTTACACTTGCACAATCAGTTCACTGCAATATAATTATTTATTAAAAAACCATCACAGGTGTTTCCCCGATCTGGGCTTCTAACGTCTCTGATCACATTTAGAAAATGATATAAAACCTGACATATAGCACCTTTCGCTATTAATGTTTACAATCAACACAGAAATTAGGTTTACTACAGAATAAAATAACAACACACCCAGATCTCTGTGGAGCACTGACCCATTACCAGAGACCCAGGAATGCACAACCCACACAGACACTCACCGCGACGTTTTATCACAGCAGAGAGAAGCGGACGGCGTGGAACTCTCTGGAGCCTGCAAACAACAAAAGACGGTTTAGGGTTTCCTTCCTTCCTAGTTCACACGGCACACTCCTCTGAGAAGGAACGGTGACAGGTGTCCCACAGTTTAATCATAAATGGCAAGTCAAACATTGTAACTACTGGCTCATCCTAACACCTCAGAGGGTCTCCGTCACACCGTGTCTCAGGTCACAAACGACACAAGTCCATTAACCAGCAGCAGGACAGGTTTCCACAAGGGGACAGCAAGATCACCCTCCAGTCAGGGCAAGGCAGATGCCCAGTGCGTATAAAGTGCCTTGTTCTTGCACATAGGAGGTACCCAGTGGACGTTAGCCGTCGTTGCTATCACTATTGCTATTTACTTGAAAGAACCAAGTCATGAATGACTTTTGGGAATTCTCAATTATCCCTACTCTTTTTTTTTTTTTTTTTGAGTTGGA